TATAAGTGCATCCAGACACAAACTAATAGATGGTTTCAGCGGAGGAGCAAAGACCTGCTGTGTCCATGCCCCTCATCACAGGCATTTTACACAGTAGGCGTTAACAGCGCGTAAGCGTTGACTGCGCGTAATCTTTTTTTGCAGTATCTACACTGACCGTGCGTGCAGGTCCGGGGCTTCTGATGCTGTCCCTGTGTAGTCTATGGAGCAGTGTAGAGGACAGTACAGAGGACTGATGAGAGAATCACTGTTAAACCTGCTGCTCCTCCTGCTAATGTTTATATACAAGTCATGTGTGTGTGCAGATGCGATCTAGAGCCAAGGACCGCTAGTAAATTCATGTTAAACATGAGATTTCAATGGGAGACGCGTTGCGCGCACAAAATTAGAAATCAATCCTAAATTAGAGCGCAGCCGCGCGTCATACGTCCGTCATACGCGCGTATGACAGTAGTAGTGTAAATATCCACATTGGTTAACATGGGAAAAAGTTACGCGCGTCTGCTGCGTGTATAACGTGTACGTGCTGTAACGAGTCATGTGTAAATTAGCAGTCAGACCTGCCCTGTTCATGTCCCTCAGACCTCCATGTCCTGTCCATGTCTTTCGGGGCCAGAAATGTTTTCACATTTTTTTTTTTAGGCAAGGCAAGTTTATTTGTATAGCACAATTCACATATTTTTAGAAAGCATCAAAATCATAAATAAATCACAAAACATTAAAAAGAAAGATAAGAATATAAAATATAAAACCTGGTTTTAAAAATGGTCAGAGAGGAGGCCTGTCTCACACTTTCAGGAGGATTGTTCCAGATTTTAGCAGCATGAATCTGAAAAGCAGCCTCCCCATGTTAAGTCCTGACTCTGGACACTAACAGGAGTCCAGTCCCTGTGCTCCTCAGAGTCCCAGCAGGAGTCCAGTCCCTGTGCTCCTCAGAGTCCGGGCTGGTTCATATGGGACTAACATGTCACTAATATATTTTGGTGCGAGGCCATGGAGAGACTTGTAACAAGCAGAGCTGTTTTAAAGTCTATTCTCTGAGCCACAGGAAGCCAGTGCAGAGACCTGAGGACCGGACTAATGTGGTCGTACTTCCTGGTTCTAGTCAGGACTAATGTGGTCGTACTTCCTGGTTCTAGTCAGGACTAATGTGGTCGTACTTCCTGGTTCTAGTCAGGACTAATGTGGTCGTACTTCCTGGTTCTAGTCAGGACTAATGTGGTCGTACTTCCTGGTTCTAGTCAGGACTAATGTGGTCGTACTTCCTGGTTCTAGTCAGGACTAATATGGTCGTACTTCCTGGTTCTAGTCAGGACTAATATGGTCGTACTTCCTGGTTCTAGTCAGGACTAATGTGGTCGTACTTCCTGGTTCTAGTCAGGACTAATGTGGTCGTACTTCCTGGTTCTAGTCAGGACTAATATGGTCGTACTTCCTGGTTCTAGTCAGGACTAATGTGGTCGTACTTCCTGGTTCTAGTCAGGACTAATATGGTCGTACTTCCTGGTTCTAGTCAGGACTAATATGGTCGTACTTCCTGGTTCTAGTCAGGACTAATGTGGTCGTACTTCCTGGTTCTAGTCAGGACTAATGTGGTCGTACTTCCTGGTTCTAGTCAGGACTAATATGGTCGTACTTCCTGGTTCTAGTCAGGACTAATGTGGTCGTACTTCCTGGTTCTAGTCAGGACTAATGTGGTCGTACTTCCTGGTTCTAGTCAGGACTAATGTGGTCGTACTTCCTGGTTCTAGTCAGGACTCGAGCTGCTGCATTTTGAATGTACTGCAGCTGTTTTACAGCCTGTTTGGACAGACCTGTGAGCAGGCCATTGCAGTAGTCTAACCTACTGGAGACAAATGCATGGATAAGAATCTCCAAGTCTGCTTTAGACACTATGTTTTTGATCCTGGAAATGTTTTTTAGATGGTAAAAAGCTGCCGATGTTACTGATTTGATGTGGCTATTAAAATGTAAGTCTGAGTCCAGTATTACCCCCAGATTTCTGACCTTGTTTGAAGGTTTTAGGGAGAGAGACTGTAGGTGACAGATGACGCTCTCTCTTTGTTTCTGGGGACCAAAGACAATCATTTCAGTTTTGTCTGCGTTTAGCTGAAGGAAGTTGTTTTGCATCCACTCACTGATCTGTTGGATACAGTGAAGGAGTGAGTCCACTGGTCCATGTTCTCCTGCAGTCAGTGAGACATAGATCTGAGTATTAGTTTACTATTTGTGTGACAACGAATAATGGAAACTAAGGTTGTTATAAAAAAAAAAAGAGTTTTACCCATTCTTCATTTGACCCAAGTGATGACTTCTGCTTGGATTGTAGACACATTTTCCTTTCATTCGTCAGTCACATGTTAAAGACTATCAAAGAGTCAATAAACCATTTAATGATCAGTTTCTTATTACAACTATTTTAAAAATGATTGACCAATTTCAAAAATCAACTATTTTAGTAAACAATCATTTACAACTTCATATCTAGACTCTGGTACTGTCACAAGACTAAATGTTAATTATTTAAATAGTTGAAAACTAGTGCTAAAACAATATACATATTTGAGCCCTATTATTATTATTAATCAGTTTTGTGTAGTGTTTGGGCACTCAACAAGATGCTTCACATATTCTTTCACTACATACACAGTGGTCAATTAATGAGAAAAACATACAAAATATAATATGTTCTTCCTTTTTTTTCATTAGGGTCGGAGCAGATTCCACACACTTCCTCCAACTCATCAGGAGGAATCCTGAGGCGTTGCCAGGCCAGCTGAGAGACACAGTCCCTCCAACATGTCCTGGGTCTTTCCTGGTCTCCACCAAGAAGTGAAGTTGGCTGAATGACTAAGTTTACAATCTCACCAGCTGCATTAGTGCAGTCAGCTGATGCTTTAAGTCATTATCTACAAGATGAAACATTGGGACTAGGGCCCTCTGTGGGTCACAGGGACCAGGGCTTATATTGGAGGTTTGAGGGTAATTTTCTTTAGTGCAGTACAAGTACAGAGTACAGAGGGATACATGCCACCTCACTCCTAACACAACCTTTGAACTTTTGAATACCTGTTCACTTCACACTGTCTGAAGCGAGGGTACTCACTTTTCATGGTTTATTGTTCTCTAATCTTCTCATGTTCTTTTTTTACAGTATTACCCTTCTCATCCTCAAAACCTGAAGCACCTATTCTCATCTCCTGCATCCCTTAAGCATCTCATTGAATTTTCAACTTGGATATTTGGAGTATTTTGGGTGTGAAGATTGAGTTCCTGTCAGTCGGAGGCAGCTCTTCCTTCATTGTGCATCAACATTATCTATTGTTAAAACAAAGTCATGGTTAGGGATGTTTGTAAGCTTTGCACACAAGCAAACATATGTGACATTAACATAACATTAATAATAACATTCAGAGCATTAAACTTACAGATATAAACAGTTCACATCATGACAAACTGGAGCAGAGCTCGGTGAGGCACCGAGACACTGCAGGGGTTTCAAACAAGGTTCTATGTCTATACATTTTTTATCCACTTGTAAAATTCTGTGCCATTACCTTATGACTTCATGTGTTTAATAAAAGATGATTTATAACAAATAATGTTGACATGTAAATGGCATCTTTTCAAAGCTTCTTCTGGGAAGGTTGTCTTTGGTATTACTGTAAGCTAAAGCTATTTTTGTAACATTTTAATACCATAATTTAATACTTTTTATTTCTATATTTGTTAATTGGCTACTACAGTGAATGCTACCTATATTAAGTTTTCTAGTTGGGGGGAAAGAAGAATTTAGAAACTTTAATCCTAAAATTATAAAACAATTCAAGTGTGCTTGTGGCATTTTATGAGTGTAAAAAATATATTTAAAAACTAAATGACCAGGGGAAAATTGTTATTAAAGACAAGATCTTTTAGCTAACCAGTTAGCACTGCCCAAAGTTAATGCAAAACTGTTAAATATAGTCATTTCGGAGCCAGCGGATCTATTCGAGTGGAATCTGTACAAACTCTGGAACTGAGGAGACTCAGGATAATAGTTCCAGACAAAACATCCATGTTTTTGCTCTTTTCAACAGCATATAGAAAACCACATTTAAATAAGGTATTATTCATATATATCGTTCGAAAGCTAACACTTTTAACTTCCGTTTTATGCTAGTTAAGTTTATGTTTTTATAACCCGTTGAAGTGGGTAACCGGTGCCTTTTTTAAGCCCGAAGTGTCCGACTTAGGAAACAGATACGCTAGTTGTGTTGTGACAGTCGTGGCTAGCCTGTTAGCCTGTTAGCCTGTTAGCCTGTTAGCCTGTTAACCTGTTAACCTGTTAGCCTGTTAGCCTGTTAGCCTGTTAACCTGTTAGCCTGTTAGCCTGTTAGCCTGTTAGCCTGTTAGCCTGTTAACCTGTTAGCCTGTTAGCCTGTTAGCCTGTTAGCCTGTTAGCCTGTTAGCCTGTTAGCCTGTTAACCTGTTAGCCTGTTAGCCTGTTAGACCTGTTAGCCTGTTAGCCTGTTAGCCTGTTAACCTGTTAGCCTGTTAGCCTGTTAGCCTGTTAGCCTGTTAGCCTGTTAGCCTGTTAGCCTGTTAACCTGTTAACCTGTTAGCCTGTTAGCCTGTTAGCCTGTTAGCCTGTTAGCCTGTTAGCCTGTTAGCCTGTTAGCCTGTTAGCCTGTTAACCTGTTAACCTGTTAGCCTGTTAGCCTGTTAGCCTGTTAACCTGTTAGCCTGTTAGCCTGTTAGCCTGTTAGCCTGTTAGCCTGTTAGCCTGTTAACCTGTTAGCCTGTTAGCCTGTTAGCCTGTTAGCCTGTTAGCCTGTTAGCCTGTTAGCCTGTTAGCCTGTTAGCCTGTTAGCCTGTTAGCCTGTTAGCCTGTTAGCCTGTTAGCCTGTTAGCCTGTTAGCCTGTTAGCCTGTTAGCCGCTAGCTACAGGCTGCAGCTAGCATGTCCTTGTGATTTGCTGTGGTGCGAAAACCAAAACACCATTAGTTTCACATTCTTACCTTATGCACAATATTTACAGAACGGAGTCCATTTGCCCCAGAAGGAATAACCGTCCGGATCACCCTCAACGCCATGATTATCCGTCCTCCAAAAATCCTCCGGGCTGACCTGAACCGAAGCACCGTCGGCTGATTTGTACGTCATCAAGAGTGCGACCACAATACATGCCAGTGGTAAGCCTAATTTACTGCTATTTTAGGGTTTATTTAATTCATTTATCATGTATTTCCGGGTTTAGGGAGTATAGTCAGTCTATTGTTTTCTTTATTGGAACTTGGAATCAATAATTCAGCCTCAGTCAATTTTATCCTTAAATTATATCTATTTAAAGTTATTTAAAATACAAGTTAGAATGCATAACCAAAATATCTATGACGATTACTTTTCATGTGGTAAATTGCCAAGAGAACACTATAAATGAGCTCATGAATGTATGATTGAGTCTTTGAACCGCTTTGAACCCAGAAAATACCACGGACATTTACCGTACTTACATTTGACCACAGGGTGGCGCCACTAACACGTAATCCAAATATTAAAACAAAAAACAAAAAAACATACAGGAACACGTTTTTATGTTAAACAAAAAGGTGAAATAAAAGTTCAATTGAAGAAGCTGAATCAATATAAAGTCTCCAGTCAAAAATAGACTGAAATACAGCTCACAGGGAGCACCTGTGCTGCATCTCCATAAACATGACCAATACTTTGCCTGGAGACAGACAATTAGCTACAACGTGCGTCCTTCCTAAAATAGAATAAGCCATCAACAGTGTGCAGCGCGGTGGCTGAGTGGAAAGCAAGAAGGTCCTGGTTTAGAGTCCCAGTTTCAGAGTGGTGTTTGCATGTTCTCCCTGTGTCTGGTGCAGACACCACTACAAACATGCACAATATGAATGGAGTGAGTGAGTGAATGGTGTCGGATGATCTCAGATGGATATAAGGTTCTGGTGGAAACTTCACTTGTATCTACAAATGGAAATTATTACCATTCCTCCTTCTGTTTGTTTCACACTAAAACTAACAAATGGTTCAAGCAAAACGTTTTCTTCTTAAGATTAAAAAAACAGACTTCAGTGGGTTTCTTAAATAAATAAAAAAAATTGTGATAAACAATAATATTGAAACTACTTAATGCCACTGACGAAAATACGACACAGCAGTATGATCCCAATAAAGCATTTTTTATTTATGTATTCACAAAATGAGCCATATTGAACCTAGGGCTGGGCGATTAATCGATTTTAATCATTAATTCGAGTTTTACGTTTAGGGCGATTTCTTTTTTTAAAAATTTGATTTTTATTTTCTCCATCGCAGAACTACAGCGCTAACCGCGGGTCTATGGTGTTGAAGCTAACCTAATGCTAACAGTCTCCCTCTGGCCTGATGCTCGCTCTCACAGTTGGTGCTGTTGCAATAACACTTCAAACGTTCAAGAATCAGACTTTATTTAATCGCCAAAACACACACACACACACACACACACACACACAGGCTCCGGTCGTACGCCACATCTTTCACGCTCTCTCACGCTCGTTATTCCAAAGCGCACTCCCGTGTCCGTGGCGCGCACACACTCGTGTCCCACTGAGCCGCTGCACTTTGGGGAAAGACACGTCTCACACATTGTTCTCATTGCTCTGATACAAACAACGTGTTCCCCGCTGTCTGTTAGCTACAGTAGCTGCTACAGTAGCTGTTAGCTACAGCATCAGAATGTAAACAGGAAGCTCGCACAGTCACTGAAGTTAGTATTAGCGCCACCAGCTGGACCGAGCGTTGTACTACAGCACAGTTACTCAGGCACAGTTGAAAGAACAAGCATGAAAACCCGAGGAGGCTTTTGGAAAAGACTGTCTGTTACAACATTTCTATTTTGAGTAATCAGTTTTAAAAATGTGATATTTCATGTAAATAATGCATGTGTTTAATAGGATTGATATATTTGCGATGGGCCTTGTTTGTGTGATTTAAGTTATTTTGAAGGTGCATAGTGTCATTGTAAGTGAAGTTATTATAAAACTGTTAAGCTACATTTTCACTGTTTACAATGGCAGAGCCATCTCGTTTACAAGCATGTTTTAAGGCTTAATTCCTGTTACACTTATGCCCCATGGGGATTTAGATTAAACTGCATAAAGGAAAATCTATTTCTTTGTCAGTTGTAGTTTGTTTTTAAATAGAAAAAAATAAATCGATTAAAATCGAAAATCGGATTTGGTGTAAAAAAATCGGAGATTTTTTTTTTTTGCCATATCGCCCAGCCCTAATTGAACCCATATATGATTATTATTAAGCATTATTATCATTATTCATATTTTCATTATCGACTGGTTTACTATAGCCCTACTTTGTCTTTCTGTGTAATATTTATTGTCGTAGTGTCATGATGCTGGCGGGATTTGACCCAAAAACCATACACGTTTGGAAAAGGTGTAAACATAATCACATGAGGATTTATTTGTACTTTTCTACAGCCCATGACTTTAATTTTCTAATAATACTAATTTAGTTTCCTGAAAATATGATTTGGGGCGACAGTAGCTCAGTTGGTCTTTGGACCGAATGGTCGTGGGTTCGAGCCCACCATGGCCCATGTCATCTGCTCCCACTGATGTCTGCTGTCACTGTGTCCCTGGGCAAGACACTTAACCCCACATTGCCTGAAGCCCCCTCTGAAAGACCAAGGCCATCTAGTCCATGACAGAAGCCATCTTCCAGTGGACCCACCACCTGCAGGAGGATCAGAGGGACTGTTGCCATGAGACTTGTGCAGAAAATGTGATTTGATTTGATTGATTAGTCTAAATGATCATGTTCTGACAGATAACTTTGTTGGCTCACCTTTGTGCAAACCAGTCGCTGCGGATACTGTGGTTCTTTATGTGAAAACCTGCTCCTAGTTATTGTGTTTATCCCACAGACTGTATATATTAACGGACGTAGTCACGCCTATCTCCGCCGTTCTAACTAATGGGCCAAAAATTGGGCTTTCATGGAGTGATTCAAAATGGCAGCGGGGGCTGGAAAATGTGAAAAAACACATCTGTGCATGCGTCAGCTGCACGAGCCCCATTCATTTGAACGAGAGACTTCTAAAGTCCACAGCGACTAAACTAGACTGGTCCAGAACACTCAGCATTGACTCACATGTGGAACGGAGCTTTGGGCCAAGAGACACTTTTGGTCCATCCTGTAAAGACGTTTTCCAGAGGTCAGCTAATGCTATATGTTAGCATTGGCTAATTCTTATTCCAGGTCCACCCCCACAGGCCCGGGGTGGTACTGCAGCATGTCAGCGCACGTCATTTTGGACAATTTTGTCCCACTGGTTTATCCTCATCACACACTCTCCTTCCTCATATTTCTGCATAGGGAGCACCATAGGGAGCACCATAGGGAGCACCATAGGGAGCACCATGTGCAGCTTTTCACACCTAACCTTGTGAGACTTTTCGAACACCTCCAGCCTTGTCAGCGCCTGTGTCTGACTCTCGCCTGTTTCCTCCGTTCTCTTGGAAAGCTCTAAAGTAAACATGGCTGACAGTCCGCTCCACCACTTCATATTTCAGCCCAACGTCAGGGCAGTAGCACGAGAGCTGCACACACTCAGCAGCCCTATAACCAACCCACCGGCAGATCTACAAATCTACAATCCAATCACGCTAATGCAGACACTGTCCAGATCAGCAATAACTGTGTTTGCTCTGCCTCCTCTGCCTCATCACGGCTCTGTCTGACACCGGGAGTCAACACAAACTCATTATTGTAAATACTGACTTTATGAGTGAGACGATAACACTGTTAGTCTGTTAGAACACCATAGTGGAGACTGTGGCCTTTGAGCCTGAAGGTTGTGGGTTCGAGTCCACCACAAGACCTTCTCCATCGACTCCCACTGTCTGCTGTTGTTGTGTCCTTGGGCAAGACACTAAGGCTGCGGTCACATGCGCAGCCTAAAGCCTGGTTTAAGTGGGCCAGGGCCCGCTTCGTGATTAGATCTGGGCTTTAGGTGCTAAGTGACCGATGCATTGCTGCAGTCGTGCCCAGGCACGTTTGAAGACTTGGGCCAGGGCCCGCTTGTAAAGCCCAGATGAGGGGGGTCAGTGTGGCGGGTGGTGGGGAGCGGATTATGTACTTCAGATTATTTTATGTATTTTATTTGATAGAGACAATGCACATGAATGAACATCAGTATTCCCTGTACAAGAAGGACCGCAGCAAACTGGGGTGACAGTAGCTCAGTTGGTAGGGCACCGGTCTTTGTGGGTTCGATCCCACCACGACCCATGTCACCTACTGCCACTGATGTCTGCTGCCGTTGTGTCCCTGGGCAAGACACTTAACCCCACATTGCCTGAAGCCCCCGCTGAAAGACCAAGGCTATGTCTTTGATCACGGAGAAGCCATCTTCCTGTGGACCCACCACCTGCGGGAGGATCAGAGGGACTGGTGCTGTGAGACTTGGAATCACTTTTCCTGATAATATTGTCCTTCACTTGAGTTGTGTTGTTCACACACAAACACACAAACCTTGGTGATCACTCTACCTCCTGCAGTGAGGCATATATATATATTCACTCTGA